GAAGAGTGTCTCATGCATTAATTATGATTTTGAATCAGAAATATATGTCTTTATGGTGTATGGAAGCGTTGATAGAAACGGCAAAGAAACACTGTTCAAAGTCTGGACTTATTCGCTGCCAGAGAAGCGCATAATGGAAGAGTACGATGGAGAAGTTTTCAAGTTCTCTGATGCTTCAGTGTTTAGAGACACTGAGAACAAGAAGCTTCACTTGTCTTTTTCATCAGGTTCTAATCTTTTGGCTGTCACGTTAGATCAAGCAACAGGCAGCTTCTCGGCTACTAAGAAGAAGAGTTGGTCTTCTTGGTGGAACTTGGATCTTTTTTCAACTTTTGGTGTATATTTAGAACTCGAGTATCTTAGTAACAGAACGAGTCTGTCATTTATCCGCGCATATAACCTTGGCTTTGAACATTTGGTTGATTTCGACCTGTTGCCGAGTTTCTATGATGGAGAATTTAGAAAATCATTCTGCCTTTATTTTGTTTCAGTGGGAATCGACACGTTTAAAATCAAAGATATCTTGATACCGCGCAGAGTTGGAATTGTTTCAAAGTCAAGCACAGATTCAAATCAGACCTACACTTTACTGAAATACAATACAAAGGGTAAATACGAAATACTCTGCAGCAAACCGGCATCTGTGAGAGCTATTATGGATTCCGCCCCTTTTGAGTACATTAGAACAAATCGATTATATCAAGTTGGTCCATGCACTTTGTTGTCTTTCCTATCAAACGAATTGTTTGATGCAGAAAAGATGGAGAAGATACTATGAGCTGGACTGTTAACTTGACAAAGTCTCATAAAAAGATTTTATTCCGGCGCGCCAAATTTCAGTATATGTTGTGCTACAAAAAGGCTCATAAGTATCAGAGCTCTTTCCTTCTGAACCTTTTACATAGTCTTTGCTTCGGTGCAGGAGGTGCAGGAGCATCTTGTGCTTTTGGAGTTGAACTATCACCCTGAGAATTCTGTGGCGTTTTACCATTCTTGCTCTTGAAAATGTTCCTGATCTCTTCAATAGTTCCAACAGCAATGTAATACTCAAAATCATAAGATTCGCCATTCGTAAGTGCGAAATTCATCAATGGTGCAACGTAAGAACAGTCGCTAGGAGCAGGATTTTCATCAGGGCCAACTCTGTAAGATGTTATCAATGTTGCTTTAGGAGAAAAAATGCCAACGCCTTTACCCGTGTTTGGATCAATGTATGCAGCCCATTGTTCTGTGATCTTGCTCCTAAAAGGGGAATCTATACCTTTAGGATATTCAGTTCTTATTTTATCATCTGTCCATGGTTTATCGCCATCGTACAGCATCAATGATGATAGCTTTCTATCAAAGAAGGCTGCTGGTATTTCTTGATTCTTCACAGGACTTCCATCAGTTCCGGTATACTTAAACTCTACAGAGACTTTAACACTGTCTTGCAGCAGTTCCATTCTAGTGTTAATGGCCATATCATTTCTAACCGTGTTTCCGGCCCAGTCTGCAGGATATGTCACAGCTTCAACAACCGTGTCTGAGACCTTTTCACAGGTATCAACTTTCGATTTCTTATTTTGCCAACTACCAACTTGTACACCGTTCATGGGCCAATCTTTACCATTCCACTTGTTACCTTCAGGCTTTCCGTAGAACGAACTCTGAATCCATCTACCATAGTCCCACGTGTTCACCATGTTGAAGTTATCAGACTCTTTCATATTCTGCACGAGACCTATGCCGCAACCTTTGAAAGGATCTACTCCAAACTTGATCATATCATTTCCCAATTCTATTGTTTTCCCTTCGGAACCATACTCCAACTCTTTAATCGCGCACACAGAACTAATATATGCCAAGCTAAGAATCGATAGTCTAACGAACATAGCTTTAGACAAAAGAATTGATGTTGATTTTACAGATTTTCGGGTTGGTTGCAATATCAAGATCCAGCATGCAATCAAATCCATTCTATTGGTCAGTTTTTATACTTCTTGAAAATCTGTCGGATATCTGATGATGTACCAACAGCTATGAAGTACGAGTATTCGTAAGACTGTTGTGGCATAATGCTAAAGTTCATTAGTGGCGCCATGTAGACGCAATCGCTGACTTTGTTGCTTCCATCATTGCCAACGCGATAACTTGTCATGAAACCAGCTTTTGAGGAGTAAATTCCAACACCTCGATTTGTCGAAGGATTGATGTAGGCTGCCCAATTCTCTGGAAGTTTTGGTCTGTATGGACGGTCAATTCCGCCAGGATAAGCTCTTGTCAATGCATGATTTGCCCAAGGAACTCCTCCTGAGTAGTACACTAACTGTGATAATGATCTATCAAAGAATGCAGCAGGTATTTCTTGATTTCTGATTTGATGTCTTTCGCTGCCAGTGTATGTCATTGAAGCCTTGACTTTAACCGTGTCGGCCAACAATGTGATCACAGTCGTGATCTTTACCGTTGTTACAAGTTCTTCTGATGCCCAGTGTCTTGGATGAACAACTGATATGATCGTGTCATGTTTGGCTTTATAGCAAGATATCACCCTACCAGGCTTATTTTTCCAGCTTCCCACTTGAACCGGATTGAAAAGCCACGGTTTACCGTTCCAGTTGCTTCTGTCTGAATTTCCGTAGTAAGACGCTTGAATCCAACGACCATAGTCCCAGGTATTGACCAAATTCTTTGAAGGCTCTCTTCCTTTTAGATCATTCAGCAAACCGATTGCACACCCTTTGTTCGCATCAACACCTACTTTGATATTGCTGTTTGAAAGTTCAATCACCCAACTGTTCCTGCCATAGAAGTAATCTGGCTGGGTAAATGCTAGACCCAAAAGTATGCAGAATGCGAGAGGTTTCATCACACGATAACAGTAGTAGTCATCACGCCACCAGCTTTTATTTCGAGTCGTTGCTTAGCAACCGCATTCCTCATCAGCACGCAAAACTTGTTCAGCGAATGCTAATAACACCAGCAGCAGCTAAAATTTGCACTTTCTCCCTAACAGATGGGTTCTTCAAATGGTCTCTAGCGGCCTCAGGGTTAGTGCTCATTTGTTCCAAGATTTGTCTCATCACTGGATCAGCCAAAATCTCTTGAACTTTAGGATTCTGCATAGCTCTCTTTAACTTCTCTTCCTGAGAAAGACTTTCATCTTGTCCTTCATCTGCACCATAACCCATCATTGCAAATTGAGCCTTCTGTTTTTGTGACTGCAATTCAGCAGCATTCTTTCCTTGATGATATTCTGCGTCAACAACTAGAGCGTCATCACAAGTCTGCATACATTTCGTGTATTCCTTCATCTGAAACTGAATAGCAGCTTTTCGGATGTATGCCTTGATGAAAGTTTGATCCAAAGAGATTGCCTTTTCAACATCTCTCAAAGCTTCAGGAAGAGCCATCAATTTTGTATAGCAGGCAGCACGATTGCTATATCCACGTGGATCTTTTTCAGCCCGCTTAATAGACTCGCTGTAAAAGCTGACCGCTTCGGCATATTTAGAGTCTTTAAACAATTCGTTTCCCTTCGTACGTGCTTCATCAGCTTTAGCAGGGTCTTGATAAGCTTCCCTTTCAAGTCTGTCTTTAATTGCTTCAGCTTCTTTCAACCTATTCAATGTTTCAGCATTGCGGTGTTCAGTTAGAGACTTTTGCAAGAATTTAATAGCCTCAGTATAGTTCTCCAACTTAAAGTAAGAGTTACCAATGCGATAAAGAGCACGAGCAATATGTTTAAAATCTGCTCTTACCTCTCTTCCTCTCTCAACAGCTTCTTCGCAAACTTTAATACAATCATCATACTTTCCGAGCTCAAACAGAACAGCGCCCTTGTTTGTCAAGATTGTTATATCATCCTTGTATAATTCCCAAGCAGCAGTGTACTTTTCCAAGGCTTCATCAAACTTCTTTTGCTTATAAAATCCGTTTGCTTGTTCCTTGAGTTGTTTTGCCTTTGCTTCTTCTTCTGGAACAGGCTCTGGCTCTTGCTCAGGTTCAGCAGGAGGAGCAGGTTCATAAGCAGGTTTTGACTCAGTCTTTGGTGGTTCAGTATCAACAGGCATGTCATCCTGTCCAGGATCTGCCATCTTAATGTCAATGCCACTGAAAACAGCCATAGTTTTAACAATACGCGGATCGCTCAAATAGTTCACCATGGAGTCTGGATTCTTCTGAATCTCTTGCAACTTTTCCACGTAATCGCGCTGTGTCAAGAATGGTGCCAACTGAGGACTTGCCGCAACTTTAGCTAAAAGGTCTCCGCTAAACATGTTGCCAAACAAGTTACCCATACCACCAGGACCTGCGCCACCTGAAGCACGCGCACTCAAAGCGTCTTCCAACCCTTTTTTCAATGCAGCGTTATTAGGATCCAATTGTAAACCTTTTTCGTAAGAAGCAACGGCATCGTCAAACTTTCCCAGACCAAACAAAGCAGCACCTTTACGGCCGTAACCTTTGCCCCATTCAGGCGATAATCCAACACACTTTTCAGCATCTTCCAAAGCTTTTTCGTATTCCTTTAGACCGCAGTACGATGCTGATCTGTTGCTGTAGAGGACGTGATTAGCATTGTCCTTCTGAATCGCATTAGTGAACAGTTTAATTGAAGTGTTGTAGTCGCCACTCTGGAAAGCAGCGTTGCCCTGACGTTTCAAATGTTCAGCAGTTAATTCGGTGTCTGTAGTCATTCTTTGGAAACGGAACAATTCAGAAACTCCAAGAATGATTCACTGATTGGAGTAGCAAGCTTCAAATTGTAAACGGGAATCGTTTCACCCTTAAATTCCGGAAGGTAGCATCGATCATCGAGAGTGGGTGCACGCGGCATTCAAAGAGAGGCTTGTTGTGATATCTAAATGGTTTGACGCATTTATCACGACTTGTTTCACGTGCGATACTAATGCTGCGTCTTTCTCGATTCCAGGATGTTCCCAAAGTCAAAAAAATAAGTCCTGTCATCGTGTGAATAGTAGAGGATGTTGTAGTATCCGGCAAAAAGTCCCTGATGCCTCCGAGGGGGGTCGAACCCCTGACATTTCGGTCACTCAGTTTGATACGTGTAAAAGCCGAACGCTCTACCGACTGAGCTACGAGGGCGCGACGAGTATATTGAAGTTTCACGTCGGTGTAAGTAATTGAAGGTTTAACGATGAATGCCATGTTTTAACATCGCACGGCTTAGTGTTTTACGCAGCAGAATTAAGTTTCACAGACCGACTGCATCAAAGTAACAAGTTCGTTTGAGAGTCTTTCATAGCAGGTTTAAACTTTGTCGAGAATCTCTTTTCGAGCTGCCGCAAGCACCACAACAATCTCGCTTTGTTCGAGTTCTACAACAACCGATTCAAAATGGTCTCAACCAACATACTGATGCTATTTGCAATGTATTTTTATGAAAGAGAAAGAAGAAAAAGGAAACTCGAGGAGGAATATGAGGCGGCACAAGAGGCTCCGGTGAGAATTGACCTTGATGATTTACCTGAACCTGCAATAACGATGTTTCGCTATGATGTTGATCAGATAAGGACTCTTGCTACGGAGTTGGGATTTCCGGAACGTGTCAAGGCAAAATATGTCCGTGGTAGGGGCATAGAAGCTTTGTGTATTCTCTTAAGGAAATTGACTTATCCCTGTGATTTTGAACACTTGACCTCATTGTTCGGAAGATCACCTTCAAAGTTACGCAAACTGTTTAACTACGCTTTGGATTTCATTTATGACAAGTACCATCACTTATTGGATATGAGCACTGAAAGGCTGTTGAAGTTGAAACCGAAAATGCCATCATTCGCTGAAGCTGTTTCAAGTCAAGGGGCTCCTTTAAAGAACATTTTTATGATATTGGACGATACTAGAATCCAAGTTAGTGAGCCAGAACTTCATCAGGAGGAGCTCTCTGACGGAGAGGGAAGTTATTGTTTATCGTTTCTCAATTTCTCTCTTCCTAATGGCATTATTTTTGCGTCTTATGGGCCAGAAGCTGGCGCGGCATGTAATTGTGGTTTATGGTATGACTCTAATGCAGAGCAATGTCTTGAAGAAGCTCTTCCTAATCGAGAGTTTGTTCTTTACGGCGATTCCAGTTTCGAGCATGTAAATTCACCTTATCTGCATACACAACCAATTGAAACAGATGATGAAACATCAAAGCATGCAATCCCAGAGACCAAATATTCTCTGGAATGGGTAAATGGCACTTTGATGAGCGAATGGGAAGATATCGAGGATCACGAAGAGTTAAATGATAAACTAACAGCGGTAGAAAAGTTGTATGCGGTTTCAGTTCTGCTAACAAACTTTCTAACATGTCTGGAAGGCCAGAATGAAATTGGTTTCAAGTTTGGGACAGAACCGCCAACTTTATCCGAATATCTAAATGAGTATTAATTCCAATAGACTTTAGTGTATCCTGGAACGAAATCATTTACGGCTTGGACTAAACACAAAGCGATTTCAGTTTGTTTGAATGGAAACTCGCGGCAAGTTTGGGATGAAACACAGCTCGCTCTTACATGTTATTCAAATTCTGAGAATATTCTGACTGCACAGCAACGGCTTTCCTAGCTCAGTTGGTAGAGCATTAGACTTTTAGGAGAAATCCAGGAAATCTAATGGTCGGGGGTTCGAGCCCCCCGGAGAGCGTTTCTTTTTGCATTTTTTGGTTTCACTTCCTATTGCAAGTTGATCATTCAGCTGTCTATAATTTTAAGCTTCATTCAGAAAGAATTCATTTTATTTAATAGTAGGCAAAGTATACTAAGCCGTATCGTATGATAAATGTTAAAAGTGTTCCAAATACAAACTGAACAACCATTAGAAGATACGTAAGCTTCCATTCTTCCATTTCGCCAAACCATACAAGCATCAGATTCAAAAGCGTGAGATTATTCACTTCGACAAATTCCTTTTCTGAATCTGAATCTCTTTTGATTCGAACAAGACCAAATAATTCGTAGACTCTCAAACAAAATAATCCCAACTTGTTTCCAGACTTCATATTGACTTTAACATAAGACACTGTTAGCTTTCCTGTTTTCTCATCAAATCCTGGCATTCTATGGCGTGGGCATCCAATTATTCGGCTGAGTTGAGGCAATCCATAAACAAAATTAAAAATCTGAGGTATAAAGAACAGTAACAGCGTCTTGCTATACCTTCCCAATATACCCACACACGCAAAAGTCATTCCTGCAAAGTAACAGAAAGTATCACCAACAAACACTTTGGCAGGATACTTGTTCTTCAGAAACAAAGCCAATGAAACAAAAGCGAAGGGTATCAGTAAATACAAAGAGAATAAATGAACTTCCTGTGACTGTTTAGTAAGAGATTTTGCTTCTGCTATTAATGGACCAATAGGATTACTCAGAATGTAAAGACTATCATTAAATATCAACGACAGCGCGATGATCAAGCTTTGCCCAACTTCAATTCCGTTGATACCAGCAAGGATGTTTATAGAATTAGTGCAAAACACAGAAAGCATCGACATGTAAACATAATAAAGAACTCCGATATCAATAACTGAACCAAATATAAATGTTAACGGCTTCGGAATTGCAATCGTTGTAACACCATAAGTTGTTGAGTACACAAGTAACAAAGGAATTGACGCGATCGTAGGAATTATCAATTTATACCTCCACTTTAAATCCAAAACATCATCTGAGAATCCCAGGAAGAGCATACAAGTCAGTGATAGAAGAGCACTCAAGTAAATTGCCAAGCGATCATAAGGAAAGTTCGAAGCATGAAACATCCAAGGCAGAAAAGGTACCGGAATGTAAATGAAGACGCAGATCAAATAAACTAAACCGGAAACGACGCCCATGGCTTCCGGAACTTCTGGTCTGTCTTTCCGGTGAAGGTCTCTTCCGTAAAGTCCCTTTTGCTTAAAATTCTCCATGAGTAGCTCATTACTCAACAGCCTTAACGTAAAGAAAAATCCACAGACAGAAACTATAGTCGATATCGTCAGCGACGTCAGTGGCGAGTAATTGTCCAGCTCGATCAACGGCAGCAGATTCAACAGGAATGCAAACATTTGAAAAATTAGAGCCTCAAAGCGCCTTTATTGGGTTCTGCCAAGCTTTTCCAAAAGAACTTTTACCATATCCTTTCTTTCAATGAGAACTCCATCCTTCGGAGCTGGATCCACGTCCTTGGAATTCTGTTTCAGTTTCACTTTACCTTGAGCTATTTCATCTGTTCCTGCAATGACCATCCATGGTATTTGGTTCTCTTCTTTGTCACAGTACTCAAACTGTTTGATCAGCTTTGGTTTAGTTTTTTGCATAAATTCTGCCTTAATTCCAGCGTCCCAAAGTTCACAGCATATCTTCATGCGATCCTCCAAGCAACCATTAGGAGAAGCAACAAATACTTCAGTAGCAACGTGACGCGGTTTCACTGGTTGAAGAGAGGCTTTGTACTTCAGAATTGAAAATATTCTTTCTACACCAACACTGAAACCAACGCATGGGATCTGCGCATTCTTTTGTGCAAACATACCTACCAAATTATCATATCTTCCACCTCCAGCAATAGAACCAATACCAACACCTTCATCTTCTTTTGATGAAGGGATATTCAAATTATTCACAACTGCTTCATAAATGACACCAGTATAATAGTCAAGGCCACGAGCCAAACTAAGATCGAAACGCACTCTGTCTACAGCTGAAAGAACTTCCAAATAGGAAAATAGGAGTTTCATGTCTTCTAAACCCTTCTTAGCGCGAGCATTTGTTGCTAGCGGAGAATTTGCAAGTAAATCATCAATAACTTCTTTGCCACCGCTCAGTTTAACGAAAGTTCCGATTTTATCAGCGACTTCAGGCTGTAAACCCTTTTGCTCACACATTTCCTTCTTGACTTCTTCCCATGGTAACTTGTCCAACTTGTCTACAGATGAACAAATTGTTCTGAATTTGTCTTCGGAAACACCAACAAACTCAAAGATACCATCCAAGATTGCACGGTGGTTGACTTTAATAGTAAAGTCTCCGATATCCAAAGAACCCAACACTTCCTTCATGACACGAAGAGCTTCAGCGTCTGGAACCATCGGATCAAACGTTCCAGCAATGTCAAAGTCACACTGATAGAACTCCCTCATGCGCCCTTTAGTCATTGCAGGTTGATCTCTTCTGTAGACTTTAGCAATGTGATATCTTTTCATGGGACTTTTGCAGTCAGTGTTCAAAGCCAAATACCTCGCGAACGGAACAGTCAAATCATAACGCAATGAACATAATTCACCGCCCTGGTCCTGCAAATCGTAAATCAACTTTGAATCTTCTCCATACTTTCCAGACAGGATTTCCTTCAATTCGAAAACGGGAGTGTCAATAGTGACTGCGCCGTGCTTTTTGAAGATTTCCGTTACGGTACCAAAAATCTTTTCACGGATGGCCATATCAGCAGGAGTGTAATCGATGGTACCCTTCGGAGTCTTGACAGTAATTTTGCTCTTTGCTTGCTTCTTATCACCGGAACCGTTTGCCAAGTTTAACTCTTTCATCTGAGCTTGGATCTCTTGGATCTTCTTGTTAGTGGCGTCTATTTCTATAGCAGGCGCACCAGCCTTCTCTTGGGACTTCAAAGTGGCACGCGCTTGCTTAAGTTGGTTGATAAGATCCTCTTGGCCAGACATCGTCACTGTATAAAAAGAATTTTGTTGTGATCTGCTCAGTACTGCAGCGCAGGTGTTGACACGTCTAACTGAAGGCTGAACGCGTAGGAACGTACAGCTGGAGGTATTCAGTGATGAACGGAAAGGTAAAGTGATGTGATATAAAGACATTATGAGAAAAAGCGAGTCGTGGTAGTTATGTCGGCTGTCTTCAAATTGCAGATATCACGAGGGAGTTAAATGCAAAGAACTTTCAGCCTTTAATATTTGCGTAGCTTCTTAACCAAGAGTCCATTAACAGGAATTTGGCCAATAGGTTGGCTCCGCATTGTAAAGCAAGAAAAAGACCCCTGAGCTCTGCAATGCCGTACAATCTTGTCGATCTTCTCATCGAAAATCGATTTAAGGTCGCATATAGAACTTTTTGCCATGCCGCGCAAGCGCAAGAAGGATGAACCTTCCGAGGAAGCATCCGTGATATCGGAGGAAAAGAGCACCGCTGCTGGGGGCAATGGGAACGGTTAAAAGGTCAGCCGGTCATTCATACTTTAGTAATAAGTCTGCTTGGAAGGATCAGGTCCTTTTAACCCTGGCGAGAGACATTGCCCGAATCTATGAAGTCACGCGCTAATCATGGAATATTTTGTGACATTTCTGTCCAATCAGGTTCGATTTTGTCGGGATTCGGAAACAGCGACTCAACTCTTCGTATCATCAAAATGAATCAAGCACAAAATAGGCAAGAGAATGTTGCTATGCCCGAAGCCGAGGTAGGTAATCCGGATGAGATTTGGATACTCAGAGAAGGCGCGGCATGCGCAGATGTGTTCCTCTCGTCAAGTCTTCCTGCTGATGTTAATAACGTTGCGGGCTTCCGTCGTCATATTAAGAATCACTACAATGACTACTCCTCCATAGATGCCGACAAGATCTTAATCAAGGACAAGGTTGGG